TCAAGATCTTTCCAACGATCCAAGAATCGCCTGAATCAGACCTACGGATAAAAGATATAACAAATGATAATTTGGTCCATGTGGGCTGATGATGCAGTCAATGCATTTGATGATGTAGTAAACACGTTTTCTTTAATTAGATAAGGCTAAAACTTCAAGATAAATCCAAAAATATCCGAAAAAACTCCAAAAAAATTACCAATGGAGTTTTATAAATACCCTCTTCATAACTTAAAAGAAAAAGAGGAAACCAAAAACCACAAAGAATCCTTTAGAAATTCTCGAAATTAGAAAACTAACCCAAAAATATCAAAACTAAGAAAAACCCTTAAAAAATTCCTAATAATTTAAGAAAAATTTCCAAAAATCCTAAAAAATTAGAGAAAGTCTCAGAAGCCTTATTGGACCTCTGGAGATCCCAAAACTTTTAGAAAACTAAGGAAATTATCCTCAAATCCCAAAAAAAATCTAGGTAGACCCTACCTAAAATTCTCAGCTTTTACCCCTGCCTTAGGAACCTTAGATTTAGGTCAAAAGAACCTTAGATCTACCAATTCCAGCTAGCAAAGGCATCTAAAAAAGGAGATGGTGGCATAAAACAGAAGAGCGGCCTGATCGAAGCCCGAACCTCTAGGTTTCGTGTCCCTAGAGGTAAGTATATCTTTCTTTTCTTAATTTAGTTTGTTTTTCTTCATTTAATTATCTATTTTTTTTATTTTTATTTGGAAATTAATTCATCATTAGATTTAATTAAATTTAGAAGCGTTTTTTAGTAAAAATACGGATTTGGAGCTGGCGCTGCCAGTGGACTCAGAAAAAGACTAGATCTATATAGATTTGAGATTTTTCTGAGCCCATAATTCAAGCGACCCTACATTCTCTACTTTTAAAAAATAATACAATTTTTCTTAAGATTTGAACAGATCTAATTACAGAGATCGGTGCAGATCGGAGTGTAAACAGTTTCGTGTCCACCGTGAGGTATCTTGAGCTTCAGATCCATAATTTAGAGTTAAAAAGCTTATTATTTTTCTCATATTTATTTTTCCAGAAAATATAGAAATAAAAAGTATAAGAAAAGAAGAAGAAAAAAAAACAAGGTACATTTGAAAAGATTTCTTTTTTATTAAATTAGATCTTTTCTTTCTAGATCTTATTTTTTCTCTCTCTATAAAAAATTTAGAATTTTTTTTCTCTTAATCTTTATGATATTTTGGATCTTTTAGATCATATATTCTTTTATATTCATCTGTTATATCAATTATTGTTCTTATTATTATTATTATTATTATTATTATTATTATTATTATTATTATTATTATTATTATTATTATTATTATTATTATTATTATGATTATTATTATTATTATTATTATGATTATTATTATTATTATTATTATTATGATTATTAATATTATTATTATGATTATGATTATT